CAATCTTGGACAAAAATTTCCCCTTAAAACGACCCCCTCCCCCCCAAAAACAATGTTGTTGCCATGGAGAGAGCACTGCTTTACCTGATTGGACCAACATTGTCCTGGGGGGAGGGGGTACAATGATCCAACAAAATTTTTAAAGGAAAATTGTGCAATTTAAAGATGAAATGAAATTTTCTCAACTCTTTTTATCCAAGATTGTAGTTGTAAATACGGAAGAGAACTTAGTAGAGCTAAATTATATGATCATGCAAGTGTGGTTAAGGTTTATACCATCATTGTTTTCTAAAGAATGGTCCCGGGGGGGGGGGGTACTCCCATATATGGACTATACGGGGATGATCCGCTGAACAGGGTATGTTTTTTCGAGCTTCTTGTCATAAACAGGGTATGCAATTTCACTCAAGTTCCAAGTTCTTCCTGAGCTTCCTGTCATATTCAGGGATTCTACTTTCGTATTGACCAAAACTGGTTATTATGGTCGTAAAAAAACGATACGCGAGATGACATGATAATTGAAACAGTAACTCAGTGCAATAAATTATATCTTTTGCCATAAACAGGGTCTACAAATTTGAGTTTTTTTGTCATAAACAGGGTACCCCTTTCAGAATCCCAGCGGAACACCCCTACCAGTTATAACAGAGATAAGGCGCCAACTGCTTTGGAGACCCCTCAAGTTCTTTTACACTATCAAGCTGGGTGTTTTCATGCACAAGTGCTACTACAACCTAGATTCCAACCAGGAACTGCAGGACCACATCAAAAAGAGAGATGTTGGCTACTCCCTACGTAGTTCCAACCAAATAACATTGCCTCTTTTCCATACAGTCAATCATGGAAAAAAGGCAATAAGGTACCAGGCAGCAAAACTGTGGAACGCGCTCAACAACAATACCAGAGAATCGAGTTGCCCCGTTATTTTCAAACAAAAACTTAAAAAGGACATATCTCAACTAAAGATGTAATAACTCTTTCCAGTCAAAATATTAAATTATGTAATAATTAGCTTAGTAGTAGATAAGATCGAGAGAATGAGAGAGAGAGAGAGAGAGAGAGAGAATGTGTGTGGGTGAGAGTGAGAGGACTAGTATAGCTTAGGACCTAGGATTAGAACACGACCACATCAGCTACGCTGTATATAACTTATCGCGTATAAATAAATATTATTATTATTATTATTATTATTATTATTATTACCCAAATTCTGGCGGAGTACCCCTCCCCCCCGGGAGAATGGTCTAGGGACTAACCTCTAAGGCTTCGGCCAATTATATTCAGCCTAGTGGCGGGTCGGAGGCAAAAGACGTTCCAGCATGTTTTTACACTAAAACAATTCAACTTTTTTTTCTTCTTTAAAGTTGAGATGTAGGTTGGAGGGGAGGAGAGTCAATCACACAAAGGCGCTGTCGGTCACGCTCGATTACGCGCGCTCTCTGCCCAAAGCCTGGACACGAACCTTCCGAAAAACAACAAGATGGCGGACGGTGTCCTTCCTTTCGTCCGTGGGCTCGATTTAACCCACAATAACTTCAAAGTATGAACTCCGATTCTTATTTAAACCCTGTATCTCTAATCTTTAATCATTACTGACTGTATATTTGTGTGTTTAAGGATTTCAATTTCCCCAATCGGGTCGCAGACATGACAAATTTACGATGGCTCAAGTTGAACAAGGCTGGACTGGAGACACTTCCTGAGGAGTTGTCACGTCTCACTAAACTGGTATTTAGTCTTTATTTCTTGATTATACCTCGAAAATCAAAGATTCGTGTAGTTAAATGATGTCGTTTAGCTTAGAAATGGTGATGGAATGAAATGGTTGGAAAGTTTGATATATTTACATCTAGTCCAATATATACTTCGTTTACGTATTTTAAAAATAATTTTAAGTGACCCTCTAGTTATTCATCCATCAACATAACCCTTTTTTTGCTTCAATGATCTGTAGAGTTCAAATTTTTTAACGACATTAATGTACCTTTGTTTTTCACTAACATGAAAACTACTCTATTGCCTTTGAGGCAAGAATGTTTAATCGAATGATGTCAATCAGGGGGTTTCCATCACAACATAGACACATTCAGTCCTGGTATAAGCAATTGATGATCAATGAAAATCAATAGGAATCCTTATATTTTCTATATACCTACTGAATTACTTTGCCGTTGCCATTACCAAAAAGTATCATTCAAATGGCTAGAGCCTAACTAGAAAACTCCCCAGTTTTTTTAGGCTCTTGGCATAATTTACTTAATTGTATTAATTGTGCGAAATAAAACTGAATTGAATTGAATCAATAATCAATTAACGACGGATAATGTAAAAAGATTCTCCCCCTCCCCCTCCCCCCACCCAGTTTCTGAAGAAGCACCTCATAAAAATCAACATGTGAATTGAGTGTTGTGTACATAGAACATTGAATGTATTGTGGTAGTGTGTGTGTGTGTGCGTACAGTAATTTTAAAAAGTATCCCAATTGCAAAAGCCCTAGAAGAACTAAACACTTAAATAAATAGTAGAAGATAATATAGGTAAGCTGTAGTGCTTGGGAACGAGGTTATTCCGGGCGAAAGCCCTTGAATTAAATTCAGAAAAATTAATTTCCGACCTCGCTGGGATTCGAACCCACGACCTTCGGAATTGTACTACCGATGCTCTACCAGCTGAGCTAGAGGTCAGACTGAGAGCAGGCCGGGGTGAAATAGATGGTAGGTCGCGGTAACATACTCTCACTTAAATAAATAATAATACCCTAATAATTAATTTATAAAATTATTAAGTTTTGAATAATTTGTTGTGTTTGTAGGAACATTTGTCAATCAAAGAAAATGAGCTCACTTGTATCCATGGAGGATTATCTTCTTTGAATCAACTTAGGGTGAGTAGTTTAGCTTTGGGCTGTTGCGGCATATACAGTACAAGTACATTGTACATTTATAAGAAGGTTGAAAAAAATGTTAAATCTTAGAGGATTCTAATAGCTGGTAATTATATCCCTAGGTCATCAATGCAAGGAATAACCATTTGATGAACTCAGGCATTCCAGGAGATATTTTCTCTTTGGAGGACTTGCTAACTGTGGTATGTATTCATTAATTTTTTTGATTAACTCAAAAGCCAATTTAGAAACCCCAATAGACCTATCCCGAATTCACTTGACTGACCACGAAACAATGGTTTGAAGTTGAGACTGGACTTGATTATTTTTTTCATCAAGTTCAACCTGGACTTGAAACCATTGTTTCATGACCAGTCAAGTGAATTTCGGGATATGTCTATTTACACCTTACAATTTTTTCTTACAACTGTCATGGACAACATGCTTACAGTTTATTAAGTTTTATAGCTACTGTACCATTTACTGTCATAAGCAAGTTGTAATTTACACAGAGTAATTTGTGTCATCAGCAATGTTGTGCAGGACAGCGGCATATTGTGCAGGACAGGGGAAAAGTTGTACTGTAAATTGGCTTTATACAACAATGATGTCATTTTTCAAATTTTGTTTTTTTCTTGAGTGTATAATGTCCTCAATACACATAAAAACTTGCCTGGTGTGCAGTCTGTGTGCAGTAAAAATATAAGATTTACAGTATAGGAATACTATTAAATGGATTTTTTTTTTTGATTATCAGGATTTTAGTCAAAATGAGCTTAAAGAGGTAAGTTTTAAATTAAGCACGATGTTCAAGAGCAATAGGGAAAGCATATTAAGCATATGATAAGCCTTCAGAGCTATATTATTTCCATGGTTAAATCCCAAGGATCTCCCAGTCTGTTTCAACTTCTCTCTAATCCCTGTAGCTTCAGCTTTGAATATTTTTTATTAAAACAGCTCTTACTGATGGATTAAGGGGATAAAAGCATGCACCTTTTCAGCTCCTTGCAGACCAGCTACTATACAGTATGTACATGTAGCTGAAGGAACAAAATTAAATAAGGCCTTGACCTTGACCTTTATACATGTACTGTATGTATTCATTGATAGTTATGCTTGATTTCCAAAGGTACCACCAGAACTGGAAAATGCAAAAACACTACTTGTCCTGTCATTGGCAAACAACAAGTATGTATTAGGATGAAGGTCAAAACAGTGGTCCAAAATAGGGAACTTATTTTATTGATTTTGGTGATGGGTAAACATTTTCTCAACTCTCTGTTTATGTATTTTTTATTTTCTCTCCAGAATTACATCTATTCCAAACCAGGTATGACTCTTTATTTTATCTTATTTACATTTAAATCTTATTTTACAAGGGTAACATAATTAACCTCTCAGTTATCATACTTATGGCCCTCAAAAACAAAAAGTAAAAACTATAAAACTTGAAAAAATATATATAAAACAATACAATGTAAACATAAACAAACAAAATATAACTAGGTAGAAAATGCATGGACATAATAGAAATTAGTATAATGATAATATTATTATCAAGTGACACATTTACAGTTTTATTATTTAATGTAACCATAATGCCCAGCCAGGTATTTAATTGAATTCGTATTTTAGTTATTTTAGTCTTATCAAATTCCTTTTTTTTTATTTCTTTTTTTATTTCAGTTATTCATCAACCTGACTGACCTGATCTACCTTGATCTGAGTGACAACTGTCTTGGTACTACATTTACTAACTAAGATATTTTTTTAAATTACAGTGTATTAAGAAATAATATATGTTATTTACTGGTCAGGAGGCCCGGATAGGGAGAAATTGTGCCAGAGGTCTTGAATATGCAGACCAAAGCTATTAAAGGCCAAAATTCATTTTCAAGATTGATGGTGCAGTTTTTCCTTCCTTTTTTCTTTCATCCATCTTTCCATAATTCCTTACATCTGTAGCTCTGTCTGTCTATCAGTCTTTTCATTCAATCATCCATCCATCCATCCATCCATCCATCTATCCATCACATCAATCCATCCATCCCATTCATGCATCCTTCCCATCCATTCATTACATTCATTCATCATATCCATCCATCCATTCAACCATCCTTCCACTCATTACATTCATTTATTACATCCATTCATCACATCCATCCATTCAACCATCCATCCTTACGAGATACAACCATCCATCACATCCATCTATCACATCCATCCATCTTATTCATCGCATCCATCTATCCATCTATCCCATCCACACATTTATTCATAATTCTTTTCTCCTAAATCTCTTTCCTCCTTTTTTTAATTAATTCACTCATTCAATTTTTCCTATGTACCACTGCAGCTGTAAACTCTAGAACACAACTTGTCTAGAGTCTTCTTTGAATCCTTGATGTTATTTTTCAGAAACCATTCCTCCACAACTAAGAAGACTGGTGAATCTACAGACATTGGTGAGTACAGAATGCAGTGAATACATTATTCTGTATTAAATTATGAATGACTAACCATATTTATACCGTATTTATACCATATATATATATATATATATGATATTTTGTATAAGCAATGCCCTTGAATAAACGGCACCCCCAAATTAATGTTACAAGCATATGAAACCCAAAAAGTCAATATGGTGTATACCTGTCATATAAATTGATGGGATTTACCACTAAACCTTTACCACTCCAAGAAGGACAAAAGAACCTAACATTAACAGGTTCTGTTGTCCATCTTGAAGTAAAGGTTTTACAACCTAGTACTTGATTAGGCAGCTGATAGATTAACCATCAATAGCTGTCTTCTATTAAAAACTCTGTTCCTATGAAATGTGTTTTTGTCACTCGGTAAAAGATCTATATGTTAAGTGTATGCTACATCAAGTGTATGAGCAGATTAAAAAATCTGCCTCAGTTGGGTTCTCTGCTCCTGTCATGTCTTCCATGTATTTATTGAATGTTTTGCTTTTTTTAGATCTTGAACAATAACCCATTGCTACATGCCCAATTCAGGTAATAAATAATGTTTGACCTACTGTAGAACATTAAATGATCAAACAATAGTAAATACAAAGAAGAATCAGAAAAACACAATTTTACTTGTCTTTGTGCTTAATGTTCATAATATTTTTATTATTTTTATTAAATTGATATGTAATATATACAGTATGAGTGGCAATGTTGCAATGTACAACACAGACACGAATACTGTAGATTACTTATCAAACATCTAGGTTAGTTCCTTTGTGTTTCACTAAAATTTTCAAAATTAAAGTGAATCTGCCCAAGAAAATCCAACTTAAAGTTTATGCAAATGAACAGCATTCTGTATCTGATTTACAGAACTCTTCACAGTCGTGATTTCTGTTGTGTTTTCCTCATGAATTATTAATGAGTTTGATAATGATAGATATCCATATTCACATATTAATTAATTATTTTTTATGTGTTGTTCTCCTTAGGCAACTACCATCCCTCACTCAGCTTCGTACACTGAATCTCAGAAATACACAGGTAAGTTAATGACTGCTTCTTCTTGAAAATGGGGAATCATGGGTAGCGTATGTTATATTACACTCACTTCTCACCTGTGGGGTCTCAGGTTTGATCCCTGGACTGAGCATCATGGGAGTAAAGGGCATCCGATAGTTTGGCCTACGCATAGTTTCACCTAATGAAATGCGTAGGCAAAGCTATCGTAATTCAGAGTAGAGTAGGTCTCAGGGCTGTAACCAGGGGGAGCACAGGGTGCATGTGCATCCCCCCCCCCCCCATAAAAGCTTAAGGTCTGCTCATTTATCTCCTTTTGCTTTAAAATTGCATGTACGAATGTTTTCTGACTAAATGAAGACCACTTTCCATCTGCATATTGTAGCTGCTATAATTTTTTTTTTCTGCAAATCATTGACTGGTGCACCTCCCCTGCAAGATCCCTGGTTACACCCCTGGGTCTCTTCTGAGTTTTTCTGAGGGTTTTCTATTTCCTCCCTCAACAAAACCTAACAAGATATAACTAGCTAAAAACTAGTGKGAGCTGCGTCGGTGTTTCTAATGAAACAGTAATGATGAAAAGGTAAATTATACACCGTGAAAAGATGAAAAAACTTACTGACGTTTCGGACGCTAGTCCTTCGTCGTAGTAAAAGAGCTCTTTTACTCCAACGAAGGACTAGCGTCCGAAACGTCAGTAAGTTTTTTCATCTTTTCACGGTGTATAATTTACCTTTTCATCAAAACCTAACAAGCCTAATTCCAATTTGATTTGTGAGTTAGCCATACTCTAGTTTTACCAGATTTTCCTCTTACCATTGATCCCACATCCTGATGATGGAAGCAATAATTCTGAAAGCTTGATTTTTTTTAGAATTTTTTTTTTTTTTTTTTGATGGAGAAACTTCAAGATTTATCATATATTGAATGTTCATTTTGCAGCGAACTATTACTAACATGCCAAACAAGCTTGAAGCATTAGTAAATCTAACAGGTATGTGTATATCTCTATTATTTCATATCTTATAAGCTCTGATTGATTAGGGACTTTGCTAGTGAAAGAAGGAGCTACCACAAAGGATGCTAACTCCACAAAGCAGTATAAGAAAACAGCATTTGAAAACTACAGATATTTTTCCATGCTCCATTCAGTAATATACCACTTAAGAAGCCTAGCTAAGAACTAGTTTGAGCTGCGTCAGTGTTTCTAATGAAACAGTAATGATAAAAAGGTACATTTTACACCGTGAAAAGATGAAAAAACTTACTGACATTTTGGACGCTAGTCCTTCATCGGAGTATAAGAGCTTAAGAAGCCATCAAGAAATTAGTTGGGTGCTGCTCCTCACACTTCTTTTATGTCTTTGTCGCTTCTTACAATCATGGTGTATCACTGAACAGCCTTTAGCATCAAAAAATCTTAGACTTTATTTCTTATGGAAATTATTTTTTAAATTTTAGATCTTGATTTGTCTTACAATGATTTGCCAAGAGGTAAGTGAATACAACTTGGTGTTGCACAGTTTGTGAATTTTAATCAGAAGGAAATACAGAGAATTCTGATTTAAGGGTTGGCCAAGGCAGTACAAAATAATGAATCTTAGGCACAACAACTTTGTTTCGACAAAGACAATGTTCTTAAGAACAATTCCTTTACTAACAGGGCTGGGGTGGATTGACTTTGACTCTCCACTAAGTTCACGCATTTCCTCAGTGTCAATACAAGATTGTTACAGTGCTAATCAAATGCTCTCGGTTTTTCTTTCCTACATTCTTTTTTTTTTATCTTTCTATATTTTTTTCACGAAAATTGGTCCGTTTGAAACTGAACCAACTGTACCAGTGGCTACGGCCCTGTGGCATGACAAACGAACATGCAACAATTGATTGTTGACAGCCGTTATCCACTAATCAAACTTAAGTTTCTACATGTAAGATAACTATAGTATCACCCAGAACCTACAAGTTGTGCTTTCCATATCCCCAAATGCTTTCAAGAGCTAAAAAATAGCAAGTAAACTTGTCAGCCGTTACTAATCATGTACTTACATATTTTTTTATGAAATGATTTAGTTCCTGAGCCAGTGTACATGATTTCAAGTCTCAAGAGATTGAACCTGAGCAACAACTGCATCACAGAACTTTCTTCCCTCATTGGTGAGTGCATTCATGTACAATGTTGGTGCATGATGTCCACTGTAGTGCAGTTACTTCACATGCTTTTTTGAAAAATATTATGTATTTAAATTGTTGACTTGATTTGCTTAGATTCATGGAGTCAGCTTGAAACCTTAAACTTGTCAAGGAACCAACTGACAGCCCTTCCAGTAAGTTAACAGTATTATTAATTTTTATATGCATTATTTTATTCATTCATTCACTCACTCACTCACTCACTCATCCATTCATTCATTCATTCATTCATTCATTCATTCATTCATTCATCCATTTACTCATTCTCTTTCATTGGTTCATTGTTTCATTCATTTTTTTTACTCAATTTAAATAGGATAAGATCAATATTTGATAACATTAATTTGTCAATTTTTCACATATTGTTACAGTATTAAATGATTATAACATATTTTCTCTATTATTTAAGCCCCGTGGGGGCTATTTTCAGTACTCCTCAAATGGAGACTTAGTAGAATGGGGTTGGAGCTTATCAGAGGCTGAGCTATTGTAGGGCTTATTGAATTTTTGGCATCTCAGAAACAGGGCTCACTAGAAGGGGGTTATTAGAGGCTGGGGGCTTAATAGAAGAAGTACGGTACATGTATGTACATGTAGTACTTCAGTTTGACGTCACTTTGATGTACCTCTGTTAATCTTTTACAGTCTTCACTTTGCAAGTTAGTCAAGTTAAAAAGACTGTTTCTAAATGGTAAGTATTACAGTATATCCAGTGGCAGTGAAGCACTAGTTTTCATCTTCATCAAGGTAGCTCCTTATCAATGGGAACTACAACTGAGCACAGATTACTTCTCTCTCCACCAATTCCCAGTTTCCAAGTAGACCGTGTCTCATTCTCTTGAAATAAGATTCTTTGTTTGAGTCATATCCATATTCATGTGTCCCCATGTGCTACCGTTAAACAAAGAAAAGGTGCTATATGGAATGACATTTAGCTGGAAAGGGAAAATTATTATTCCCAAGCTAAAAAAATGTCTATTAACACCAAAAATACGCTGACTTGAGTTCTAGAAGATGAAATAAGATTGTATTGTAGGATCACGTACAGGGCATTGCATTACTCATCTTCTAATTTGCACATTCAAACAACATGTATATCCACACTGTCCTCTATTAAATAGTGAGAATGGATTGCATTTGACCTTTAAACTTTGCAGTGCAAAATTGACGACATACAATCAGAGTGAGCAATTTCTCTTCTGATCCCTTCAGCATGCTTGGCCATGACATCACCACTGTTATGGCAGTCACTGTTCTTTTGTTAGTTTTTAAAGACACAATATGATAAGATTTTCATGGTTGTACCATCCGCAGGGAATAAGATCAACTTTGAAGGTTTACCAACTGGAATCGGAAAGCTGTACAACTTGGTATGTTTAAGGGTCAAGTAAAGAAGTGAGGGGAAAATGGAAAAAAATGATTTTGTGTATACACCAAATCTAAATATATTGCATTTTAATGCCATTAACTACCACTACCAGAATCCCTTGCACACTTTCTTTTGTTCGGTTGATTAGCACCAATTGTTTTTTATTCTTCGTTTTCAATAGACGTCATAGCCGCCATGTTGGAAGAATTTGACAAAAGATTTTTCAATGAATTCTTTTGTTATATCTTCCAACATGGCGGACATCCCTTTTGTTATTGTGCTCTCTTGGGATTGATTGCAAACCAAGAATTCTCATATGGAAATACAAAATTAATTTCAGTAAGAAAGAAAATTCGAGAAGCATTTTGGTAGTAGTAGTAAAATGATGCCATTATGCAAACGGCCTATTTAAAAAAGTATTGTTTGTGGACTGAATAGCCTCATGTTCACATGAAAACACATAAGCGTTTTCACATACATGAAAGGCTTGTCAGTCCAGAACAATAGTTTACTCAAATTGGTCGGAGCGTTTGTTATGCAGTGAATAAGAATATTTTAAGAACTTTGCTTTATACAGTCACGTCACTTTTTTAATTAGGAGTTCTTCATGGCTGCATACAACCAACTAGAGTGTATACCAGAAGGACTTTGCAGGTAAAACAAATGCTGATTACGGATGATCATCATGTCGGTCATTGTACATGCATGTTGTGAATGATCTTCAGTCCAGCTGTTCATTGGTCAATTCACCTTTTCAGCGCTAGCTTGGATTGTGTTACGGTCACCAAAAAGTTCGGAGCAACATCGTTCTCAGATTCCCATTTAGATTCATTGATTTTAAAGAGAAAATTTAGGTAGATTTCTTTAGTTATCTCTGTTAACAGCAGTAAGAAGAGCTTCAATCAAGTTAGAAAAATGAATTTTTACTTGTATTTAGAGAACTAAGTAAACAAACCAAGTAAATAGTTCATTTAGAGTCAGTACATTTGTACGGAAATCCGAGAACAATGTCCGAACTTCTTGGTGACCGTAACACAATTCAAAACAATTTATACCACATGACGGCTTGCGCCGAAGAGGTGAATTGGACAGTTTATTTATGGAACATTTCATCGATAGTTGATAGTTGGTTGTTTAGTTGACCAGTTGTCTGACCAGTTGTGTCAGCTCTCACCAATGTGATCCGGGTTCGAGTCCTGGACGTCGTACAGTATGTGAGCAGAGTTGTTTGTTGGTTCTCAATTGTTTTTATCCCAAAAGGTGCATCAAGCTTAAGAAGCTTATTCTTCATTCCAATCGTCTCTTTACTCTGCCAGAAGGCATTCACTTCCTCACCAACTTAGAGGTTTGTATTTGTCTCAAGTTAATGTAATTTCATGTATTTTTGACTAAATGGGTGTTTCCTCCATGTGTTAAGTCTAACATAACCCCTCCCCCCCCCCCCCCCCCCCCCCGTGATCAAATCACCACAGCCACATAATCTAGCTTCAGTACAAACTGTACCATATAAGACATCATTGATGAACTAAAGATGTTTGCGCCCAACCTAGACCAAAATGCACCATGTTCACTATCTTAGGAGAGGCCTTTGTAAGGGTCAAGAAAATCTTTTAACATTACATTTCATTTCCAAAGGAGAACATTTTGATTGTTTTTTTTCTACGACATGACTGCCATGAATACAGTACCACTCAAAGTAGTATATGTCAATAGATACACCTATTTCAATAAACGTTGTCATCGCTAAAGGCGATAGGCGATATGTCATTCCGACATGGAAATGGTTTCGTTGAATACAAAGAACATTGAATCAGTCTCAACACTAAGGTCCGTGTTCTTGACGAGAATAAGAAGCTTAAATGCAAGTCATTCCAGCTATTCTTGGATCTTGGAATGACCTTTCTCCTAATGCTTTTCGCCTATCGCCTTTGGGGATGACAACGTTTTTGAAATAGGTGTATACGACTAATGCCATGTTGTTTTCTTTAGAATCTTGACGTTCGTTACAACCCTGAGCTAGAGATGCCTCCCAAACCTGTGGCAGATGATGATGGTGCTGATTCAGCATTTTACAACATCGACTTCTCACTTCAGACCCAACTGAGGATTGCAACTGGTGCTCCACCCCCACCCCCTCCTGGTTAGTGCAGGACACTTAATGGACCACCTCGACGATACGGCGGCCGTCTTGAATCGTAAGGCATTGTGGGTCGCCCAGGAAGGGGGGGGGACAAAACAAAGATGCTGAAAGGACGACCACACGATCTTTGAAAAATTTCCTCAGTCGTGGAACTGTTCATCTTTTTAAATTTATCTCTTGTCAAATTGTCTTGTTGTGAATCGACGTCATTATTGTAACAAAGCTTTGTCTATTTGCCCCCTGGATGCCCCACAATGCCTTGTGATTCAAGATGGCCGCTGCATCATCGAAGTAGTCTATAGAATAACAATTCAAAGGCAAGTTTGGAGTTTAGCATTCGATGCATACCGCTGTTTTTGAAGACCACAGACTCATTTACACAGGCCTAGCTTCATTTATTACTCAGATATTCACAGACACCATTAAAAGTATGTGGGAATTTCAAAACAGGAATTGTTCAACGTACACATTTCCTACATTACAGTGGACTTTTGCGAAGCTGCGAGGCTAAGACTGTGCAGATGAGTCTTTAGTCATAAAATACAGTGGTATTTAACGAATGAGAAAAGGGACTGACTATTTGCATACAGGCTTAAGATCATGCGCAGACGTTTTTCACTCGTGCTTTTTCATTCAGGAGCAAGAACTGTTTAACAATGTGAATCTGAAATTGCTACAGATTTGCTTTAATAAGGTGTGATTTTTTTATCTTTTTTTCTACAGCCCACAAAGATGCATACGCACGTAAGGTACGACCATCTTTCTAATCATGATATGTTGAAAAGCTTGTAGGTTTGAAGGTATTAAGTTACAAGCAAAATTATATTTTCTTTCTGCCACTTTCTTTTTGGAAGAAAAAGCGGCAAAACGGATAATAATCGAGCATTTTGCCATTTTGCTTGTACGAATTTCAAAATTTTGTTTTTTGTTGTTTTTTTTCGAATTTCGAGCTCTGCAGGTTAAAAAACGATAATGAAAACTGTGACTTTTATCTTTAACATCTTCATCGTAAAACCACTTAATGTTGAGGGAGGTGCAATCCTTTTTTTCTGGGTTTCACTTGACGTCTTCATCTGAATTTCGTTAATGTGGAATCCATCTCTATTTTAGTTGCGCATGCGTGGAAGAAGATATCAAAGCCAATCTGATAAGTCTGAAAGTCTCAAGGTAAGCTAGTCACTTGCATGCTATCGAGTGATGTGATTGAAGTGATGTAAAAAGACAATTTAACACCGCCGGTACGATTAGCTGCCATTTAGAGTAATCCAGTACCGCTCGGAAGCTGGATTTTCATTGCTCCCTAAGTACAGTACCGCTTTTGTAAGGTTAGGTTTAGTGCTATTGTTTGGAAAACCAATCTATTGTTTTTTAATCCAATCATGCAACTCTTTCCGAGCGGTACGGGCTCGCTCGCCATTTACAGTCGTAAGCAAGTCATACTGCCATTTCACAGCATGTTGCACGCGACGGCTGTGAGGAGGAATCGTATCTTGTGAATTAAATCGGCCTTATTAAGGCATGGTAGATGGGAAGTGGCTGCTTGGTCCAGAAAAGAACACTCAAAAAGTCCTAACAATGATTTATTTAGTAATTGAGAAAAGGGATGAAGAGTTTAAAACAGATGTCTTAATTACATTTTGTACTGTGCTATTCAAAAAAAATTCTTAGAGTTCATACGAAAATATCGTAGCTATGTCTTATTCCATTCATCGTTCATTTTATCGCTTTTTATAATGTTAGTGTCATAGATTACTTCCGCATATTTGAATGAATTTGAACTGTCATAAACAACATGTTGTTTTTAATTTTTTCACCCACAAAAATCATCTTCATTGGTTTTTCGCATTCAGAGACATGAATCATCCAGGAAAACGTCTAAGGTCAGTTGCGCAAATCGCACTCCACCAAAACGTTCAATCCTACGTACCTGATGCTCGATGCTTGCGGGATTTTCGTTCTTGTACGTGTGTTCCCATACTTATTCACATAGAGAGCTCCGATATCTATAACTCACCATTCGCATTTCCATTGAATTTGTTAAGAATAATATTATATCTTAGAAAGATTTTCGTTCTTGTACGTGTGTTCCCATACTTATCCACATAAAAAGCTCCGATATCTAGAACTAACCATTCGCATTTCAATTGAATTTGTTCAAAATGATCTTATATCTTGTGGAAATTCTTCGCTCCTACGTGTCGTACGCATTCCAATCAGCCGTTAACCAAGAGCCTATTACATTCTAACTTGTACGTCAACGGTATGTTCGTTTGTAATGGGCAGTTATCGTAACATCAGTTCGCTCGTGTTGGTTTTGAGCTTAAGTATGTAATATAGTCTCCAGTTGTATCCAAACGGAGATTTAACAAATGGCAATAAGCAGATAAATCTCTATTTCCATAATAATTGCATAGAAATGAGCATGTTGTGTTAAACAGAATGAAAATTAACCTTAATCATCGATGCTACTTGGTTTTTCATAACGTCACGTCATGTTCAAAGTCTTTGTCTTAACGTCTTGTATGTTTTTAATAACGTCACGTCACGTTTGCTTTTTTAAAATTGACGTCTTTACCTTGGGTATAATGTTTTCCTATTTCATTTCGTTTTCCCGTGTCATTCTCTTGAGAATAAGATTCTTTGTCTGAGTTGTATATCCATATTCATGTGTCTTCTCATGCGCAACCGTCAAACAAAGAAATGAAACTCTAGAGAACAACACGTGGTCTGAAATGGTAAAGTATTACGCCTAAGGAAAGGAGGTTTATTCTGAATCGAATCAAGGCTCGTGCAAGATTTTTAATGATGAATTTATGTCATGTTTGACTTCAGGGTATGGTAGAAGACGCAGAAGAAAAGAAAGCAACCGGAAGGAATAGAAAGCTAAGTAAAAAGGTAAGATAGCCTCAAGTGCTTACCATTTCTAAAAAATCTTAGAAAAAATATTCAGCTTTGGCCGCTGTATCATAAAATGGCACAATGACAACAGCGCTAAGCCCAATGATCTAATTAGAATTTAGAAGGCGATTTTTAAGAAGGAAGGACAAACAGGAGTAGTTGGAGGAAAACCCTTGAAAGGCAGTCTTGATTCATCTCCACTTTCTGTATTTTATTATTCCTCTTCGCATTCATAGTCATTCACACTAGTTTTTAGCT